AGTGCGCCTGCGCGCGGCGGGGCGGGGCGGGGCGAGGTCAGGCGGCGCGCGCTTCGCGTGGTGTTTCTTGAGCGCATTGTTGCTCTTTTAAAAACTATACTTTTTTTTTTTTTACGTAAAGTACCGCTTGCGCGCTTCTTTGCACCGCGTGGCATGATTCTTGCAGGCTTGTCTTGCGTGGGTGTGCAGCCGGCGCGCTTTGCAGCGTCCTTCTGGCTCGCCTTGCTCCGTGGCACGCTCTTCACGCATATTTTTGCGTGCTGCTTCGCACTTTGTGGCGTCCTGTTTGCCTGCTTTCTAGCGCGTTGCAGGGCACTGCAGTTTTGCATGCAGCTTGCACGATTCTCTGCAGGGCGGCCGGCTTTTGGCATGCTTTCCTACGTGTGGTTGCGTGCTGTTTGCAGGGCTTTCTTTTCGTGCAGTTGGCATTTGTCCTTGTACGCCATTGCATGCTGTTCACGCGCTCGCAGAGTTTGCACTGTGTGGCACGCCGAGTCCATGCTTTCTTGTGTTCCATTGCATACTATTTTTAGGCTTGCTTGCATGCTGCTTTTCATACACGGCAGTGCGCTTTTGTTGCTGACTTGGCCCTGTTGAGCCCCAAGGGGCCCCAGTTTTCTGTGCTGCGTAGGTGGGCACCTGCAGCCCTGTGCACCACCCACTGCCCAGGCCCTGCCTGGCGCTACCTCTGGGACGTAGAGCACAGACAGCTCCATGGCCTCTTCCCTTAAACACTTTTATTTTTGATGTCACTTGCTGGCAGCCCTCTGGCCAAGCGTCACTGGGCTGGCAGCAAAGCCTGGGCTGCTGCAAGCAGCCCAGCTCCAGCCCTTCTCTCTGCAGACACCCAGCAGCGGGTTACCAAGCACAGCTCAGCCATGCTCCGCTCCAGCTGGGTTCCCAAGGAGGCCATGCAGGGAAGAGAGGGAAATAGTCTAGGAAAAAAACCCCTAAACACTTAAGGTTTGGGGTTTTCCCAGCAATTTAAAACCCACCCAGCTGTGGTTGCAGGGGCTGCCCGCTTTTCCCCACAGGACTTTCCACTTGGCTGACCCATGCACTTGATGGATGTGATAAGACTGACTACCTCAATGGCCCGGCAGGCATGAATCTGGCCAGGGACAGTTTCCCTCCTGCTCTGCCGTTATTCTGGGCTGACCTCTTTACGGGCTGTTTAAATTCCTGGTTTATGGCACCGCATGGGAATGGCCCTAAAGTCTTTGGCTGATGCCAGCTGTAGCACCCTTTGCCCGTGGCAGCTCCCAGCTGGCCCTGGCACAGGCTGCCCTCGTCATCCTCAGCATGGGGACCTTTTTTCCTGCAGAAGTGACGGTTGGGTTTGCAGCAGTGCCATGTTTCTTGCACTATTTTTGGCTGGTTTGGCTTGCGGTGCCAGCTGTGACTGTGGGCACTGGCCTTGGGGCTCGGGGGGGCTTTTCTGGATCCCACATAACCCCTGTGGCACACAGGCTTCGTCTGGGGAGCCAGGCTGGGGGAGGACCTTGGCCGCTCTGAGCTGCTCTGGCACATGCTGATGGTTGCAGCCTGCAGAATTTATCCTGGACCCAGCCTGAAACAACTTGAGGTCTCCAAATCCTTTTGCAAACTGCAGTGTGGACCCTCGTACCCGAGACTCCTGGCCACGTCCCCCTGCCTCTGTACTGCTGTGGGAGCTGTGCGCTCGCTTGCGTTTCATTTGGTTGTAGTTCTAGCTTTCTATAAAGAAATTCTGTTTTGCACTTGAAGCCTGGCTGGCAGAGCTGCAGCAGCAGTCCTGTGGCTGGAAGCAGCATGAACTCCCAGCAAGCATCCTTCTCAGCAAGCAGGGATAGAGAGGGATTGTCCCAAACTCATGTATTTCAGCAGTTCTGCAGGCTGCATGGAGCCATCCAGTGGAGTGGATCCATAAGGAGCTGCAGAGAGAAGGGCACCTCCAGTAGGGAAAGGAAAGGTAATCCGAGGCCAGTGGGAACAGACTGTTCTATGCAGGACAGGAGGCAATGGGGTTTTTATGGTCTTCCTGTTCAGGCGGAAGCTTTTAAAGGACCTCGGGCTGGGCTTTGCTTTGATTGTGGGGAAGACTTCTTCTAATGATTTCCTTGGGCTTTGTTTAGCTGCTTGTAGCCGGTTCGCCATTCCTGTCACAAAAGCCACATCTGAGATGCAAAGGACGTACCCCTGAAAACAGCATCATCGGAGGCCGAGCAGCACCACTAGGGTCCTCTCACTGCTCTCTGTGAACCACAGCAGAGGCGGTACCTTGTATTTTATGAAAATAACTGAAGAGCGCAGTGGTGCCAGCGTTCCTGCATTCCCACTCCAGGGAAAACTAAGACTGTTGCCCACCAGCAGAGCCCGTGTGGCCACAACTCAGCACTTGGGGTCTGCTGAGCCCAGAGGCTCCCTGAAGCTTTTGGGACACCGTGGGTGCAGGGGAGCCATCAGGCAGATGTGCAGAAATGATACTGAGGAGGCAGAGGAGAATCTTGTGCTGCAGCAGAGGGGTAAGCAGGTGGAGGGGTTTCAAAATGCTGCAAATAGAAGCTGGAAGCAAGAGAAGCTTTTTACTGAGAAAGAAAATAAGCCCTTGCCATGGCTGAGGGGACAGACATACACTATGGCCAACAATTAATTTGCAAACTGGCTCAAATGTGGTGAAGTGTGGCAGGAGGGAGCTGTGGAAGGTGAGATGGTAGAGCAGACGAACCCATCTCTTCGCTGCACGTCACACCCCTTCCCCTTACCATGCCTGCATCTCCTCCCAGCTGACTCGGGTAGCGTGCTAGAGACTTAGCAGCTCACAGAGTCTTACAGGGTCAACTCTGCCTCTGAGGTTGAGAAAGTAAAACCAACCAGGAGCAGCACAAATGTACAAAACAGCTCAAGTTTACTGCTAGCATCATTCCCAGCACATAAGTTACCCCTCTCCCAAACAGAAGTCTTATACCTTTCCCAATCCCGTAGCACTGAGTTCAGTAGTCACTGGGCTTAGAGCCGTTTCCCATCTTAATGATGGAAGCAACCCCTCAGCCTGTTGGATCCCAAAGAGAGATGCAGGCAGCAAAACAGAGCAGGCTGCTTCCAGCAAAGACAAGAGGCAGCAGCGCTCTGCTCCCTGGGTCTCCCCACAGAGCCCTGCAGCCAGCACTGGCTGCCCTGGTTTCTCTCAGAGGGGAGGCACCCCCCTGAATTTGCGGATGATGTTGGCCAGCCGCTTGGCCAGCCCTCCCCGGCTCGGCTCTTCCACGTGAAACGTTCTGGTCAGCAGGTTGTAGAAGGAGCCGTAGCACACTGCCACCACGGTGCAGGTCAGGCAGATGACATTATAAGGCATGCTGAAGTCTGGCGTCGGCAAGTTCACCAGCAGTGGCTCCGTGTACAGGCGCATAAAATAGCTGGAGCCATCAGAGGAAGGAAACCTGGAGAGTGGAAACAGGGAAGGGTGTGTCAGCCCACACAGGACCACCGCTTTGTGCTCACCAGACAGGATAGCCGCGGCCGGCAGCCCGCTGGCACTGCGGTATAGCCCCACTCCCCAGCACAGGCACACTCACAGTGAGGTGAAGAGAGGGCTCTGCTCCACATCCACGTCCTTCATCGCAATGACGCTGGGCACCAGGGCACTAAGCACAGATGAACTAAGGAGACAAAGGACACGCTAGTGTCAGTTCTGCCAGCAAAGAGATGGCAAGAGTTTTTCCTGTCCCCAGAGACCTGGGCAGCAAGTCCTACACAAGGCCCAGGAGGGGATGAGGAGCTGAGGTATGTCGTTACCTGATGTAAAAGCCATGATTGGGGTCAGGCGTGTACTCTGTCCACTTCAATAAGGCCCTCTCAAACTGGATTGTGATCTTGGTGACAGAGTTGGCTGGCAGCTGGATCAGCATTTCTAAGAGGTGAGGCCGTCTCCGGTCCTGGGCTGGCTGGTAGTGGATATAACCTAACCCCAAAGAGATGCGTCAGTGACACTGGGGCGACCCGTGTCTAATCTCACGTTGCCTGGACATCTCCCATGGGGTGGGTGCTCCTGCTTCCACTGTCCTGGGAGAGGTTTTCTGGGCAAGTAAAGATGCACAGGTAACAAAGATCATGTGTTAAAGCTAAATCTGGTTGGTCTTTAGAGCTGATGACCTGTGAAACTTGGGTGTTCATAAGGAAAGGTACAAATCCAAAATAAGACCCAGTCATCAGTTCTACATTGAGCCTCCTTTACTACAAAAATCAATTCACTTTGGTTTAGACCCTTGGTGGATTATGAAACACCATCCACGTGCCTCTTACAAAAGAGACTTAATAAAGTCTCATCTGCTGTGAGCACTGAACTGAAGGCTAGGAAAACATCCCAAGACGTTTTATTTCCAGTCCAGTTTCCCACTGATCACTGAGGCCCAAGGGAGGGACCAAGCCATCTCTGGAACGAGCTGCTTGAGCCAAGGAAATCGTGTGGCATGTGCTCCCAGGAGAGTTTACTTACTTGGCTTGTTTTCCTTCCCCTTCGTGATGATAGTCAGAGTGTGCACATAGAGTCGCAGATACCACGGCACAGTCTCCAGCAGGATCACGGGGAATGCCCGGTACGGGTGAGTGTTGTAGATGAGAGTGCTGATCTCTCCAGTCTGCAGACCATAGCCACTCACATAGCGCTGAGCATGGAGTATGGGTGTCGGCAGCTCCGCTGCGGAAGAGAAAAGGACATAGGAATGGAGGGTCATGCCAGGTGATTTTTAAGCCCAGATCACTGACCAGTGGTGCAGGTGGAGTGAAGTTCTGGTCACTCACAGCTGTCTTGGGGCCGCTTCCACTTCAGCTGCACATTGAGGCTGCGAGATGTATTGAAGAGCGAGGGGCTCAGCAGGTCATAGACAGCATAGGTTCTCTCGTCTCCCTGGACAATAGCTTCGTGTACAGATGTCGGAGGGGGA